TTGGCTTTGGTGGGCACGGGGCACAAAGGGGCACCAGGCTGGGGGACCCTGGATCACAGGAGGTGTTTTCAGGCACAAACTGAGGTAAAAAATGGGATTATTGTCATGATATCGACAAAACAATGAGTGAATTTGGGTGAAATGGGTGCTGGTGACACTGATGGTGCCAGTGTTGGCTTTGGTGGGCACGGGGCACAAAGGGGCACCAGGCTGGGGCACCCTGGATCACAGGAGGCGTCTTCAGGCACAAACTGAGGTAAAAAATGTGATTATCGCCATCATATCACCAAAAAAAATGAGTGAATTTGGGTGAAAGATTATCACCATCACATCAACAAAACAATGAGTGAATTTGGGTGAAATGGCTGCTGATGGTGCCAGTGTTGGCTTTCATGGGCATGGGGGACAAAGTGGCACCAGGCCGGGGGACCCTGGATCATAGGAGGCGTTTTCAGGCACAAATTGAGGTAAAAAATGTGATTATTGCCATCACATCAACAAAAAAAAATGAGTGAATTTGGGTGAAATTGTTGCTGGTGACACTGATGGTGCCAGTGTTGGCTTTGGTGGGCACGGGGCACAAAGGGGCACCAGGCTGGGGCACCCTGGATCACAGGAGGCATCTTCAGGCACAAACTGAGGTAAAAAATGTGATTATTGTCATGATATCGACAAAACAATGAGTGAATTTGGGTGAAAGATTATCACCACCACATCAACAAAAAAATGAGTGAATTGGGGTGAAATGGGTGCTGATGGTGCCAGTGTTGGCTTTCATGGGCACGGGGCACAAAGTGGCACCAGGCTGGGGCACCCTGGATCACAGGAGGAATCTTCAGGCACAAACTGAGGTAAAAAATGTGATTATTGTCATGATATCGACAAAAAAAATGAGTGAATTTGGGTGAAATGGGTGCTGATGGTGCCAGTCGTGGCTTTCATGGGCACGGTGCACAAAGGGGCACCAGGCTGGGGCACCCTGGATCACAGGAGGCATCTTCAGGCACAAATTGAGGTTAAAAATGTGATTATTGTCATGATATCGACAAAACAATGAGTGAATTTGGGTGAAATGGTTGCTGGTGACACTGATGGTGCCAGTGTTGGCTTTGGTGGGCACGGGGCACAAAGGGGCACCAGGCTGGGGGACCCTGGATCACAAAGGGCACAGGGTGGGCACGCCAAGAGCTCAGACCTGGGCTCCTGATCCTCTGCTGGGGGCACGGGCAGGCTGCAAAGGGAAA